CTCTCTCTCTCTCTCATCGCATTAAGAGCTTCATCCGGACAGCGCCAGGCCGGCGCGGCGAGTTAAACACAAGGTGGGGGGGGTGGGTGGTGAACGGGGCGACGAGCGGCGCTCTGGCAGCAGGGGAGCAGTGGCGAGAGTAGTTATTGCACATACAGGAGTTTACGCCATGGACTGGAGTGGGTGATCGCGCAGAGAGACTAACAGTCGCAGGACGAGGCGCTGGGCCTCCCCCCTCCCCTCCCCGCCTGCACGAAAGGGACCGCGGGTCTATACGTTACCTGCCAGCGCGCTATCAGTCTTTTCGCACAGGGCCGCGTAGCAGGGCAGCACGGGGTCGCCCTCCTGTCCCGGGGGCGGAGAGGCGGGGCTTTCCGGGGATCCGGGGAGGGGAGAGGCCTCCCGGCCGACCCCACCGCCGCCAGCCTGGGGGTACCCCGCCTTCTCGCAGAACAGGTACTCCTGCTCGCCCTCGCCCTCGCCCCCCCCCGGGGCGGAGAGCTCCAGCGCCCCCTCCTGGAGGGGCAGCAGGTCGACGGGCGGCCCCACGGCCTCCCCGTCCCCCTGGCCCGCGGCGGCCCGCAGGTTGAGCTCCTTGATCTCCTCCGGGAGCTGGTCCTCGTTCTCCAGGGAGAAGATGCCGGGGCTCTTCCCGCAGCTCTCCGTGGTGGAGTGGGCGTTGGAGTCGAAGACGTAGGACGCCGCCGAGTTGGCGGACTGCGGCGTGTCGCCGTCCCCCTCCCCGCCCATCAGGCTGGCCTCCTCCTCCTCCTCCTCCTCGGCTGCCTCTTCCTCCAGGGCCGAGAGCGCGGCCGCGGTGTCTCCCGCCGCCGCCGCCGCCGCCACCTTCTCGAAGGCCAGGTTGTCGACGCCGTGGGGGTCCGGCTCGCCCACCTGCGCCTCGCCCTCGGTGTCGCTGGCCTCGTCCTCCGAGGACGCGGCGGAGCGCGAGCGGGAGGAGGGCGCGGAGGCAGGCTCGGTCGGGGCGTCCCCCAGGACCTCGTCGGCCGGCAGCGTCTCCGCCTCCTCCTCTTCCTCGTCCTCGCCGTCGCCCCTCTCCAGGTGGATGCCCAGGTCCTGCTCGACCTCGGGGCGCCCGCCCGGCGGCCGCTGCTCGGGGGGCTTCTCCTCCGAGCGGGACTCCACCCCCGAGCTGCTGTCGTAGTCCTTCAGCTCCTCCGGCGTGCTGGTCTCGCTGCTGCTCTGGGCCGCCAGCTC